TGATCGTTGTCGATGCCAGTATTACTGTTCGTCGCCCTCTTTTTGTCAAACAGAAACAGATCGAGCTGAAAATCGTTTGGCATGTGTCAAATACTTAGTTGTTGGAAGTTCCCGTTTTTATACAGATGAAGCTGAGTATCGTTTCCAACTAGTCGAGTATTATCTCTTGTATATTGCTATTGTCGAAAAACAGATGGAGCTGCCCGGAGAGACTGTGCAGATGGAGGATCTGGTCGCCGTGGAGGGCGAGAACACCCTTCGCAGAATCGGAGCCGGACCGTTCTGGGAGGTACGCGTATGACCGCTTACCATGCTTTGCCGGAGAGCACCACCGTATTGTATCTTGGGGCTTGTAATCAATGCTATTAGTACAACTGGGGGCCACGCGCCCACGCGGTGTTTTAACTAATTTGCTTTGAGGGGTCTGGACTGACTAAAACTTGGCTAAGGGTATTGGCTGTTTCGTGGCGCCGACGGGCGGAGATTTTGCGGAAATAGTATTTGTCGGAGATCACGATTGCGCTATTTAGCTAAGGGCCTTGCGCGTTGACGTACACATGTATGGATATCACGAGGGGGGGTAAGGGGGGTGGGCAACTCTCTTTCGCCCTAGGCGACACGCACCCTCTCTAACCCTGCACGTGCAGTCTGTTCACCGCAACTTTCCTTTGTTCACGTCCGAAAATCGTTTGTTGACTGTGCCTTCCTCTATCCCGTTCGCGTGGTCAATAGTCCAGCAACCTAAGGCGGCAAACACATTCGTAACGCAGCCCCCCCCCCCCCCATGCCCCCAAAAACCTCGCCCCCCCGGGATAAGTCATGTGGGAACAAAGCCCCCTCCTCCCCAGGACCCGTGGGCAATGATCTAACCCCTACCGTATGCGAAAACATGAGTAAAGTCTCCCCCCCCCCCCCCGGGTTTCCTCCCAAAAAAGGCCCGTTTTCCCAACCCCCGGGGGGACAGGGGGGTTTTTAATAACCCCAATTTTTTCCAAAACCGGGCCCCAACCAAAAAACGGGGGACCCGGAAAAAAACGGGCCCGGTT